ATTCAAATTGGTAATAAAAAAACCAGGAAAAGAAGTTGCTGGAGTCATGTCAAACAGCCCTAACACAATCCACAATTAAAGGTTAAGATGAAAGAAGAATCAACAGAAGAAAAACCCACCAACAGCTTTATTTGCCAAGAAAATAAGACCTGCGCAGGTTCCCCAAACAGGTTTTCCTGTTTCAACAAACTCGCGCAAGGCAGGAAACTACAAATGAAAAAGGAAAAAAATAGATGTCAAAAGATAAGTGTATCTTCTTATATGAGATGGTAAAAGAAAACATAGATTTCCTAGATACAAGCCTTTCTTTTTTATAGCAGTAACAATGTTTTCTCTCAAGCATAAGCTATCCGTCATTTCATAACCAAATTAATATATGTTTCTGTGGTGACAATAAATTAGTTACAGTGACTCCAGTAATGCCCTATGCCAGCCAATATATGAACCTTAGCTTCCAATAAAAGAAAAAGTAATCAAATAATCACACATTAATCACAAAACACTCACAAATCACAATAATTTCTCTGACATGCAATTCAAGACTATTACTTCAGACAAAATTCATTCGTATTAATTCAGTAATATTTGGAAAAAAGATACAAGGATTAATTATCAAACCACACAGGGTTTCCAGAACTTAAATAAGAACAAGAAAACCCACTTTCATCAAGATACATAATCTATCAGCAATAGACACAAAAGATACTTAATACATAAAAGAAAAAGAAAAAATCTAAAGAGAGAATAACCAGGTTGTGGTACTCGGCGAGCTTGGCCATGGTGGTGCTTTCACCACCGGGAATGATAAGAGAGCTCACATTCTGAAGCTGCTCCGGCTTCCTAATTTCCACCCCCTTCACTCCTAGCTTCTTAAGAGCTGCATAAATAATCACTCAACAAGATTATATCCACATAAAAACGTTACAAATGAGACGAAATTAACATGATGTAAGAGAAAAGAAAGGGTGCCTGCAATATGTTCGTTAAAAGAACCCTGTAAAGCGAGAACGCCGACTACCATTGCTGGCGTGCTGGGTGGAAGCTGGCGGCCTCAGTTGGTGTGCGTGTTGTGTGAGTCTGCGCACCAGTCAAATTATAAAGGGCGAAACTAAGAAAAAATAGAAAAAAAAAATGAAGTCGTGAAGCACCGGCCTTCCGTTTTCTATGCCCGTGAATAAATAGGCTAAATCTTTTGAACATGTATTTTATATAAGAATAAACTCTATATAATTATAAAAAAAATTATTTTTATTTTAAAATAGTTATAAATAAGAATAAATTCTATATTATAAAAGGTTATAATTTTTTTAATTCTCGTCTTAAAGAAAGTTGCCTCTACATAGTAATAACTATCTGTATATTATAAAAAAAATATGTTATATTACATTAAAGGTTTAAGATGAAATAAAATATTTATCTAAAGTTGTTTGGGACAATAATTTATGTTTTAGAGTTGATACCACATCTTTTAACTTACGGGTACATTACTCGTTAGCATGGACATCTTCTTGTTGAAACCAAAATATTTCTAGCATCTCAAGTTTGTTTAGAGCTTCTAGGTACGAAATTTTTTGTATCTCCATACTATCATACTCATGATTATTTCCTTCTAATTGTAGCAATAATTTCTTCTTCACATAAAACATATATGACTTCTTGTTCATTTGGATAATTGAGAAAAATATTAATATCCATTCGATTAGTGTAGTAAAATTGTCAAATATAATTACTCAATTCTACTATGACTCTTTGATTCTCCTTCTCCACTTAATTTGTAACTTGCAATTCATCGACATCGGGGGTCCTATCTTGCACTGTTTAAAACAATTGGCAATTGTCTGTGGCATCACATCAATTGACAATGCAGCAACTGTATTTACAATTCCATCAAGGACACTTATATTTGCTAGTTCCAAGACATGATCTTCTATCCGTTTTAAAAGTAGGCAATTGAAGCGCTAAATTTGAAATCCTAATACTATTAAAACATGAATTTAAATCCTAATATTGTACTATTAAAACATGAATTATAAAATAAATAAAAAATTGTAACCACACTTCTATTAAGTAATAACCTCCTTATAGTAATACAATTAGTTAGTCTCACCATGACTATAGAGAGGTTTTACTGTAGTTGTTTATTATAATTATTAGAGTAAACAACTTTTTCCCACCAAAATAATGGTTTAATGACACTTTTTCATTCATAGGCTTTTAAAATATCACTTTAGTACTCAAATTTATATTTTGTTTCCGATTCTAGCATTATTGCAACCTCAGACCACCACCATCCTTTTATCCGATCATCACTCACCAAAACCTTTCAAACCCTATTCCCACCAACACCGCCAATCGCCAGCAATCGAGCGATTATGGTTTGCATAGTCGTCCCTCCCAAGTCAAATTTTAATCAATCTCAACCCCCAAAATCCAACCTTCAACCACCAAAAGACTCATCGGCATCCCCTTTTCAAAAGCCGCAATAACTCAGACCAAGTTTGCCTCTCTTCACCATCGAAATATAAATTTAGATAGTAAAATGGTATTTTAAAAGTATGTGGGTGGAAAAGTGTTATTAAGTCATCATTTGGTGGGAAATTGTCATTAACTCTTGTTATTATGATCTAAATCTCCTACTTTTCTTATAAAATAGTACATGTATCAAGGAATTTGTATTGATTTTAGGAGAGTTAGTAATACTTTATAAAAGTTGTGGGTGTGGACTAAATTAAACAACCACTAATTGACTAATTGCCAAAATTGATATATATTTCTTAATTGACTAATTGTATCATTAGAGTTTTGAATGAGAAAGAGAAAATATCAAAAGATTATATAAATTAAAATTTTAAACAAACTGATAAACATTAAAGTTTGAATATTTATTGATAACAATTTTATTATTACTAGAACTATAATTGAAGTTATATTTTATGGTGAATCAGAAGTTTGTTTTTCCTTCAAGCCTATCTATAAAATCATCCTAATCTTCTAGCACCATTTATGAGTTCATGACGTAACCACAATAATCTTCGTATTACTTTTTTATCATATCTATATTTGTCTAAATATATAAAATTACTAGGATAATTATATGCATTACATAATTTACCGGATACATATTGTGGATTAACAATATACATTGCTCTTTCAATGCAAGCAAGTCTAAAAAAAAAGCCCATAGGAGTCATTAATAAGGTTTTGAAAACTAGACCAAATTGGTCCGACCAGCATCCTGCTTGGTCTGAATTTCTAATTTTACTGTTTATCCAAATCCCTAATCTTACCAGCTGCCAGCGAACGAGAGGCTACCAAATGTTAGGGTTAAAGCGGTTTTATAGAGTGGAGGCGGTGGTTTAAGGGGTGGTGTCAGATTGAATTTTGGACATCTCAACCGGAATTTGGCCAAAAAAATCAACCCAATACACGAGTCCTAGGCCCATGAAATTTTTCAGGGCCCGAACTAGTCCCTAGGACCTGTCATGGGCCGATAGGACCAGTCCTATGGGCTTGGGAACTTTCAATATGCCTCCTAATATGTAAATTTCATTTTAACCCTTATATTTATTATCTATTTCCTATAAAATAAGGGGTTTTGGATATTTACAAGGGGCTTAAACGAACTTGGACTGGGGGTTTGGGACGTGTCCCAAGCCCGGGCCTTGGAGGAGGGACTGAACCTGGGCTTGGGCCCTCCTCCATGGGCCTGGTCCGGTTTTGGGACTAGACCTTCTAAGATCGATCCTTGTAAGGACCGGTCCTAAGCCTGGTTTTTTGGGTGGGTTTTTTTGGGTCGGGTCCCAAATTCCTACCTCTAAAACAAAATGTTTTTTGGTTAAAGTTTTTGGAATTTTGATGTGATATGGTACTTGGATTATTTTATGTTCACTGAAAATAAAGAGAATGGCTAATGGGTTGCTGCTGGTTGTTGAGGTTAAGGAGGGGAGCTTTCGGAGTATAGTAGGCGTGGTGTGACGGTGGTGGGGATGGAGGTTGAGAGGCGATTATGGTAGTGGTGATGCGAAAATGGTGGGGATGGACTATGGAGGTTGTTGGTGCATGAAGAATGGCGGCTTAAGGGCTGTGGTCTCATGGTTTTTCATATTAGTATTTGATCTTTTTTGTTTTTTTGCTTCATTTCTGATTTTGCTGGATTTTATAGGGAGTAATGCTACAGTTACCGACGAGTATACACCGAATTTGTGCACCGAATGACGTGACAAAATCCTAACCGTTGATTCATTATAAGTTAATATTAATCAACGGTCAGGATTTTGTCACGTCATTCGGTGTATACTTTTCGGTAACTCTATCGTTTTCCTTTTATAGGAGGTGAAGGTCGTAGGGCGGTGGGAGAAGAAGAGCTACCAGGTTTTTTTTTTTGTTTTTGGCCAATGACGAACGTTAGAGGGAACATGTGGTGAAAGAGTGCTTCTCTTTGACCCTTTGTATTTATTAATTTTTTTTATGAATTAAAAATTTTTTTTTTTTTTAATAATAGGGTTAAACTTGGTCTTTAAATGATCTGCATTTGTCAGGTGAAGGATTTGGATAACTTTGACAAACGGCAGGGGGTTGATAGCAATATCCAAAATGAGAGGCGGTTTATGTATTTACCAAATACTTCAGGGGTTTTAGATCTCCATGTTTTAATTAGTACTAGACTATTGAGTTTTGTACTGTCAATAGTCTAGCATAATCTAACGTTTTATATCATCAATCAATTATTTATTGTTTCATTAAGAATATGATTGGTAAGTTACTAATTTTACAGCTACTTTTGTTCTTTAAAAAAAGCGTTCACTGCTTTTTACCACCCAAATAATGGTTTAATGACATTTTCTTATCTATCGACTTCTAAAATATCATTTTACTATTCGAATTTATATTCTAAAAACAAAAAAAGAGTAAACTCAGTGCAGACTGTTGGGGCTTTTGAAAATGGGAGGTCAATGAGTCTTTTGATAGTGGAATGTTGGATTTTAGTGGTTGTGATTGATCAGAATTTGACTTTGGAGGGCGGCTGTACAAACCCTAATCTCTCGATTGTCGGCGATTGACGGGGTCGACGGGAGTAGGGATTGAAAGGTCATGGTGAGTGATAATCAAGAAAGAGAATGGTGGTGGTGTAGGGTCGTAACGATGCCAGAATTGGAAACGGAATATAAATTTAGGTAATAAAATGGTATTTTAAAATTTGGTGGATGGAAAAGTGTTATTAAGTCATTATTTGGGTGGGAAAAAGTCGTTTACTCTTAAATAAAAATTAATACTTATAAATTTTGAGAAAGTATGATGATTGAATTGGCTATGTATGCCCAAATAAGGTATTGCACACGGAAACAGAACTAATAATACACTTATTAATTATTATCGTGGACTTGTAAAACAATAATAATTTTGTTGATGCTAGTTTTCGGCACCAACCAATTGTCACGTGGGTATCACTTTTTGATGAATTAATACACGTGATAAAGGATATATGAAGTGAAATAAATGCAAAGAAGACTTTTAAAGTGGTTCGGATGCTAAGGTAGCAAATCCTACGTCCACTGATTTGTATTGATATTAGTGTGGGTCAGGTCGCGAAGCGGACTGACGTACATAAGAGTTATGAAAAAGTTAGTGTTTTCTTTTACAAGAGAGAGAGAGAGTTGTTTTTCTGTAAAGAATGGCCGAATCCCCTTAATGGAGGGGACTTCTTCATTTTATATCAAATTGAAGCGTGTAATCATCATTAAATCTATGGGTTGGTGTGATTGTCAGGATATAATCCGGCTTTACGTCCCATTTTCCTTTTTCCAAGCTGACCTCGCATGACTTACTGCAGAGGAATGGACGCGTGTGAGCTCCATATTATTTTGCAGGCCTGACGTGTGCGTGTTGCCCTGACGGGAGCAGGTCAGCTTTAACGTGACTTTCCCACGTCAACCCTTCATTTTCCCGGGTATAACAGAAGCCCCCTAGTTTTTAAGGCTTGAGGAACGAGCCTTGGAAACTTAAGTCACGCTGGAGGCTTTGGTCGCTCCGACCTGGATGGGGTGAGCTCGGCTCAAGACCCGCAGCGAACACGATCTTGCGCGATCCCTTGCCTAAGAGACCTGACAATCTTCATCCTAGCGACCTGGACTTGACGGACGCTCCTTTCTGTACCTTAG